CAAACATTTGACTGGTACTATATATAGAATACAGTATATACATAAACAGAATATACTGTATATACAAACACATTTTTTGCCATGATCACTCAAATGTGGTGATCAAACACGTATAATGGTGACATATGTAAGGGCATTTAACAATTTAACAATAAACTTTCGATGAGTGCGATGCACAAAGTAATGGGGTGTTAGTTGTAACACACGTGGTTTGAATATTTATTTTACCATAGTAACATTTAAATTCTGGCTTAAGCAAATTTTTTATCTCAGTTTTTATTATTAATTTAAAATGAGACAAATCTGCTATTATTTTAATCTCCAATCTGTTATTTATCAGTTCAGATATATTTTTTTAATGCTTTGATTACTAGCAGAAGACACTAACCAGTTTTAAATTCCAGTTGCGCAGATGGGGATTTACAATGGCGTTACAATGTACTATCCTATGACATTAGCGATGTAATTTACACTATTTACTTTAATTAATTTTAATGAGAAACAACAGGTGAATAAAGACTGACAGTCAATGTTTAATGTTTAGAAATTATTATTTCAAGACATGTAAAGCATTTTTGCTCGTTTATGTGGGCCGTCCCAAGCATGGTTGCAATGTGTTCATTGTCAAACTCCAAAATCTGATTATTTTTGATTCTTAAAAAACACTATTATTTTATTTGTAAAAAATAAATAAATAAAAAAAATTAAATAAAATTAATAATAATATATATATATATATTATTTTTTTTTTTTTTATTATTAACAAATATTTTAGTTTGTCTTGTATATTTTTTTCATTCGATCAGATAAGATTTTAAGCTGTCATATGGTCAAGTTACAACGTGCCCCTCAGATGTTACAATGTGTTCCCACCTACGGGGCATGTTGTCACATTTCACTTCCATTTTTGAGGGTAAATAAAGAAAAATGTATACACTGTAATTATGAAACAAAGTGACAATTGTATTAGACAAGTGTAAAATTACTGTGGATAAAAAAATATATATATTCTGAACCCCATGTGGATTTACACAAACTGAGAAAGTCAAAAAGTGTTAACTTTGTGCCCCACTCTCCCCTACCTCTGTAAATAAATACAATATAAATTCATGTCTCGCGCACTTTAATGCCCTTTGAATGTAACGTGTACGTTCCCTTGGAACTGGAATCATGGTGGAATTTCATGTTAAGTCCACTACGCAGGGCACTTACGGTCGAATAAGACAACGCGTGAATGCTGCCTGAACAAGAAACCTCCTTACTGAAGGGAAAGTGTTGACTGGTGTCACTATCTCCACACACACTGTTCTTTCCACACATCCAAAAAAGGGCATCCCATGCCTGATATAGAACAGAGGCAAGCCAGAAGATTTGGGTTGAGGGTGGGCTGCTGCAGAGATGGTGTGTAAACCCATGGGATGACAGATTCATTTCATCAGTACTCTTGCTTTGCTTAGGGTTGGGAAATATATAGAATATTCACAATATTGCTGGCAATATAAAGTAGCATGTCATTAGACTAAATTGTCTAACTTGTTTAATATAAATAATCAGCAAGCCATTATACAAAATAGGAAAATCTTTAGATTTTTGATCTTTGATTTGAAAAAGAGAGAAAGCGATAATGGTACTTTAAACTGTGTAAACAACTACCAGGTGCATTTGGCTTGTGATGGGGGAAAAAAAATCATGGTTTTAGTAAGGCAGTGATTTGATATACTAAGTCTTTAAAGTGATTCTGTGCGTGCATCCATACATCAACGTCCACTCAACAGGAATATTTTCTCTCACACTTACATCCTCTGTGTCCTTTACTCGTAGAATCTGCTCTCTTAAGTCCTGCAGGTCGTTGAATGTGGACTGTGCTGTGATTGAGTACACAAGAGCAAAGCCCTGACCGTTCTTCATGTACAGGTCCCTCATAGCTGTGAATTGCTCCTGAAAGAGGGAGACAAAAAAAAATACACAATGAACAAAGCACAACTGTTTAAAAGTGTTACTTTGTAAACTTTGACACACACATAGACACACACATATACATATATATATATGGTGAACTGACTTTCAGTGGAGGGAAAGAAACATCATAGATTTTGTTAAAGGGGTCATGAATTGCCTTTTATTAATATTTTGTACTGTTCTCTGAGGTCCACTTATAACGTTATAATGTTTATAATGCACTTATACATTACTTTCGGGTCCAATAGGCAGTGCCGCATAGTCACTAAAATTCATCATTTGCATTTCTTTAAGTCTTGCCAGTGTATAAACCATTCAGCACTTGCACTCTCTTCTAGAGACGGTGTGCTCATGCACAATCAAAGCACACACACATAAGGCTGCCTCACATACACTAACAATAATTCCGGGAACCTGTTACCACAATTTAAATGCATGGTTGCAAGTTCAGTTGACACAATAATGTTGATCATTATACATTACATATTCTGTATAATTTAAAATCAAATTTCTGCTTTAATTTAATTTCTTTAAAAATTAAGATGTAATAACTCAATAAAACTGGTTAACTTTGGAAATTGGTTAGTGCATTTCTAGTCCCCAGCATGCTTTGCATAGGACTGGATAAGGAGAGTAAATGTTGGAATTAAAGAGAGTAAATGTTGAAATTATTCCGGTGTTATTTTATGTGTTTTTAGTGAAGGGAAATACCTATTAGTGTTTAATGCTGTTAAGTTATGGTTACCATTGTGCTGAAGAGTAGACCACATGAAGGTAAACACTACATTGACTCTATTAGCAATGACTGCGCTAATGCAAAGAAAAGAAAGCACAAAATCACTTTTACGGACTCTTAAATTAAATGTTCCCTCCTGGTGGAATGACCTGCCCAACTCAAACCGAGCAGCTGAGTCCTTAGCCATCTTCAAGAATCGGCTAAAAACACATCTCTTCCATTTTTATTTGACCCTCTAACTCTAACACTCTCTATTCTAATTATATTCTTTAAAAAAAATAAAAAAACACTTGTTCCTTTCATTTGCTGCTCGTTTTCTTTAAAAAATAAAAATAAAAAAAATAACTAACACTTGCTTTTTAATCTTTTTGTAGTCTATCCGTTTTCTTTTCATTTATTATACAATTAACAAAAGCAAAAAAGACCTCCAACACTAGCTTGCTCTATTCTTTTTCTATTCTATCCGTTTTCTTTTTATTTATTAAATTATTTTAAAGAACCCTTGCTACGTGTACTGCGTGCGCTAAGCTAACTGAGACTTGTTATAGCACTTGTATATCATTGCCCTTTTGTTGATTTTGATTGCTCATTTTTAAGTCGCTTTGGATAAAAGCGACTAAAGCGACTCTGCTAAATGACTAAATGTAAATGTAAATGTAATGCCAGTGACAAGTAACATCTTACTTGTTCATTATACATACTAAATAAGTTACGTTTAGCGTGTGCCATGATAGCTGTGGATTTGAAAAAAAGGAGAGAGGGAAAAAAAAAACAGCATAAATTGGTTCCAGGCCATCAAATCCATTAGTTGGAACAAGAGTAACCTAAGAGGGGAATTCCCCCATTTTCATAAATAAATTTCAGGCCCTGAATGAATGTCGGAAAAATCCTAATTGGAGCATCACTATAAATAATTCTACATGATAAAAAGAAGGCTTCAAAACAATCTGTATCAGTGATCGTATCTGCAGATACTGCTTTCTGTGATCGACGACCAGTGGTCGGCTCCAAAAATCCTGATCAGAGCACTCTTAGCAAAGACTGTGTTTTTCCACAACTTGGCACTGTTCAGCATCTTGTTGTCTTCTGAGCCAGCTTTATCGTTTGGTTTCTGCGTAGTCCTGCATTTGTCTCTCTCATTATTTACACTACATGTGCTAATTGGTGAGCGGGGCTAAATGAGCAGCGACAAGCAGGAGTTGATCATCTTCTGCGGAGACAGTGCTTAGCGCCACACTATTACATCATAAAGTGGCACATTCCACAAGCTGTCGTTTTGGCAGATTGGCGTCAATATAAGCTGTTTTTAGACGAAAAAGTTTTGAGTTCTGAAACTTACAGGATGTTTTATAGTACTATGACCTTTTATATGTCAAAAGATCAAGGGAATTTAGATTTCTCAGTTCATGACCCCTTTAAAAATATATTCTTTTAAATTCAATATACTGTTCATCCAATGATTGTACCACAATAATGTAATGTCTTGCATTACTTGAGGGCTTTTCTCATCAAATATTAATGCACATTATTAAACATCACATCATGCTATGGGTTTGAGAGAAGTGCCTTTCAAGACCTCTGCAGTCTAAACTGAGAGCTAGAGGTCTTCAGGGGTCCACTTGGACCTTGAAACACATGGTCTAATCCGAGAGGATTCGGATTCTCAACTTTGGACACGAGCCAGGTATGATATTAGTAGTTTTCGGTCTCTGACTCTTGGGTGATTTTAAATGGATGTTCTTTTACCGAATGTTAAATAAATATGCCAACTTCATATTTTTTTGTTTTGGCCATTAAACAATATTTTATTATTTATAACAAGTACATATCAATAATTCGATGTGTTATCTCCTCTTCAGTCAATCCATGCTTATTTTGTAAATGACCAAACCACATGGGATTCTGGCGTGAGCAGCAGCAGTATGCAAACCTTATAAACTGCACTCTGCAATAGCAGAGCCATTCGAGAGAATGAAGGCAGGGATTTACTTGCTAATATTAACAAATATAAATTCCTTGTCATTTGAGGTGCAACATAAGCAGTTAATCTACTTGAATTTGCTTGCAGAAATCTACTGCCAGATAATAAAAAACACATCTAAATGCAGTTGATTTCAAAATTAATTAACATTAAAGCATAACTGTATATTTGAGTTTTTTCCCCTCAAACAAAACAATGTGAAATTCCACAGAAAACAGGCAATTCTCCCACATTTTTGACATACAAAAATAAAGTTGACATTATCTGGCAACATGGGTTAAAAATATATAGCTAACATAATTGTTATGAAGAAGGATCAGAGAACTGATTTAATCAACAAAGAAGGTAGGGCTCTCACCACTGGCATGCAGGGCTGCAAGCTGTGCATATGTCGCCACCTTTTGCATACGTGTCCAGTTGATTTTTAAGAAAATTGCCAACGGGTCAGGTCAGACTTGGGTCAGGTCTAATTTGATTGGGCCTGTCTCATTTCAGGTCAGGTTGTTGTTTATTAAAAATGTATTTATGCATGTCAGGTTTTTCAATAAGAAGTTATTTGGGTCTATCCAAATCGGTTACAGAGCTGTGAATTGTCCACTAATGTGGTAACTGTACGTTGACAGCTGTTGCTGGCTGAAGTATGGAAACGGAGGCCAAAAGGACTTACTGTTCCTGCTGTGTCCAGGATCTCCAACATGCACTGCTGGCTGTCCACTTCCACTTGCTGCATGAGGAGAAGAGGAGAAGAAATTAAACAGAAATAAGCTTCCATCGTCCACTGGGATATTGAACAATAGACAGGAAAAGCTACTGAGCATAGAATTGCTACCTTCCTATAGGAGTCTTCTATTGTGGGGTCATATTTCTCCACGAAAATTCCCTGGACAAACTGGACTGTCTGCAAGAGACACAGATATTAAATTAGAGCCAGAGAATGTTTCACGCACACCTGTAAAAAAGTCAATGTCAACAGTCACAAAAAAATAAATAAACAAAATTAACTAAACAAAACACAACTGCCATATATTCTCAAAGCAGTAAAGGATTGAAGGGGTGGTCACAGTACACTTTCTGTCCCTCTGACTTCCATTCATACATATGCAAATGTGGGAGACCAGAAACACAAGTAAATATGAAAACGTTCTTTATTTTGATGCGTACTAATGTTTGGTGAACTTTGATCTGCAAATTTATATCACATGAAGATGTTTGACCAATAGAAGAGCTGTATGTCCTGGGGTCCGTTCTTCGTACCTCGCGTCATACATCTGAGATGATTCAACAGTTGCCAGATCTTTTAAAGGTGCACTAAGCAAATTTTGCCAAAATGATGCTGATATTTGAAAGCACCCAAACAAACACGCCCATACCCCAACAGGACCTCACCCCTATTTTGATAACTCCGCCCCACACGTACGTACACAACCCTGGCAGTGGCGTTGGTGGAATCTGCAGTGCCTGCCGGCCGGCCGAGGGTATGACATCATCAATAAGTGAAAGCGATGTGTGCTACTATGGTAAATCAGGTCGAATGTGTTTGGTAGTAGTGCGTGTTTAATGGTTTAGCTCAGTTTCATGTGGAAGACGACGTTCAACACTTCAATATTTACACGCAGGGCCTAAAACTAACTTTTTGCCACACCTGCCAATGGCCGGTGACGTGATAAAAATTTACCGGCCAAAATTTTTTTTACTGGCCATGAAACTATTTGCAAAAACAGGCAGTCATTACTACTACAATGACTAAACATATTTACAATGTTTTTAATGTGTCCTTTACTTTACTTACAAGAAGAAAACAACAAACAGATTTTGTTGAGATTCTTGTTCTTTGCATGTTTTCGGCAAACGGAGCAGGCCATCGTGCTACACCTGTTTCACACATACTCAGTTTGCAGTGCGTATGTGGTGCGTATTTGTTTCTGCATCCATGTTAACAGATTAGAGCAGGGCTATATAATTAGCTTAATTTGAGGGTTGAATTATCAAACTGAAAAGGGGGCCAAGGGGGTGGGGGCGTCCTGATCTCTTTCTGGGGGGACCTATAAAATTAGAAATTAAATTGAAATAGGAAACATTAGTGCTGTCTGTCAATCGATTAAAAAAAATAATTAATCACACATTTTCCTGTAATTAATCATGATTAATCGCATATTTATAGTCACAATTTCACATTGAACCTCCAAATTAATGTAGAAACAACAAAGATAGTATATTTTAAATATGTTTAAATGGCATCTTTTTACTAAGTAGTATATTATTAATAATACTGCTACTGGTGTCTCTATTAAATACATTTTCCCTCAATTTTACCTATTAATTATAGCCATTCAACATTACAGTATAATTGAAAGACATTATTTTTAACATTTAATAGGCTCTGAAATATTAAGTGATTTTAAAACAATCTTCACATAAACCTTTATTCAAGCTACACAAGTTAATCAGCAACTAGAGCAGTTGAGTGATTTCTCTTTTTCTTTTGTTTTTTGATTTACATCAATGACAGACTTCAGCAGGTTTTACATTAAAAGCAGCGCTGCCTCTTTAAAACCTGATGCACATGACGCATATCTTCTCCAAACTCTTTACTGTCATTAAGACAAGGGATGCACCGATACCACTTTTTCCAGTACTCGCCCGATACCGATACTTTTGTATGTATAATGTTAGCTGGTTAACTTAATTTATCAAATAGATACGGTCAAACCAAAATGTATTCAGACACCTTCAAGATTTCTCACATTATCACAGTTTATTCGCTATAGTTTAGAAAATGGTAATAAAATATGACAAGAACTCAGAGTTACACTGTGTCAGAACAAATTCATCTTGATAATGTTAGATAATTTTGATAGAAAGGTATGTAATAGATTACAATCAACCAAAATAATTCAGACAGCTGTTAGTACGACAGTATTTACACAACTATCAATACTTAGTCGGGCAACCCTTGGCCTTAATGACAGCCTGTAGTCTCCTGGGCATGCTGTCATCCAGCTTCATGAAAACCTCAACTTCAGTTTTTTTCCCAGACTCTGTCTGAATAATTTTTAGACCCAAATTTATATCAATTGTACTGGTAGTCCAATGTATGAAGAATTTTTGGGTATGATTTGTCACAGTTTACTTTATTTTGCTATCCTCACTTACATAAATGAACTATAGTGTCCTGCACCCACTAGTAAAAAAATATATAAAAAATTATATCTGGTCTCTGAATAATTTTTGGTTTCACTGTATATCCTTCAGTTATTTTCACACATAATTATGCCCATTAAAATCTATTTTACAAGTTTTTGTTACTTTCACGGTTCATTTTTTTGCTCTATGGTACATCATCTTTAATTTAATAGCATTAGAGCTGCTCCATTGCAGCGGCTTAGTACTGTAATCACACGCTTTGCTGTAATAATGCAGGGAACCATTCGTTATAAATCTCCTAACTGTGATATTTTCAGAAACAGAAGTCGCATTTTTTTCATTTGAAACGTGCTGCGGTTTACATTCCAAAGCCACTCATATAATGCAGAAACACTCAAGCAAGCAAAACACGCACAACACGTGCAGGTATTTGTACTGGTGAAGAATGTGAGGACAGTAGTACAAGCCTTGCGCATTTCACACAGGCTGCTAGATTCACTTTCGCCAGAAAGTCATTTATGCCTAAGGTTGAAAATAAATGATGTTTATAGTGAATGCCCCCATGAATGGTTTTATTTTTACGATTTTGTTTTAATCCAAATGATGCGTGTGCTAAGTGAGAGATCATCAAAGATCACACAACAGAATTGCGCGCGCTCTCTCTCTGTCTCCCTACCATTAAGTGACTTGTGCATTGTTTTACTTACTTGTTTTTGACATATCCGACCGAACTACAAATTTTCCAGTGATGTCTGTGAGAAAGATATATTCACTCGACAAGCTTGCGCATCTGCGCTGCCGCACGCTCAATCCACTCAGCGTGCTTTGTTTATCAGCTCGCGCACACCAGCTATACAGACGTTAATATTGAATGTTTAACATTATATTCATTGCATACATATACTTCATCAGTATATGACATCCTTACCTCCTTTCTGCTGTCTGTTGTTGGTGTTTCTTTGTTTGAATATGGCGCTTATCACATGCTGTGTGGTATCGGCGTTTGGTATCGGGGGGTTTTAACGAGTACGAGTACAGGAGACCAGTATCGGGCCTGATACCGATACTAGTATCGGTGCATCCCTAATTAAGACATTATAACTCATTTAAGACTACATTTACGAGGTCACTGGCCAAAACCGCGTATTTTTACATAATTGTGCGTTTTCTTCCATTGAAGCGCTACTAGTGCGCTGTCTAAAGCAGCTCAGTGTCTGTGTACAGCGGAACGAGCAACCTTTTAAACTATAGTCTACTTCACTGCACCGTTTCGGCGGCGTAACCCCAGGTATGTGTCATGTCGCCACATTCTCGGGTTATGTAGAATAAAGAAGGGAAACGTTAATCTTCCGAAATGAAGCAGCAATATCTTCTCAGGTAAAAGTTATTAGAACTGTCTAGGGGCAAGCTGGCCATCACTCTACTCTGACTCTCTGAGTCTCTGACCTTATCAGCCCGTTGTATCCTATTATTTGATTCGCTCTTGTAGCTTATGTTAAGTTTTACCCGCCAACTGGCGACTGACAGTTACATATACTCGCCATCGCTGATTTTTACTCGCATTTGGCGCTTGGCGTGGGTCCTACCTCTTGCATGATCGTAAACGCCTATTTTTAATGTTTTGTTTCTCAGAATGTTTCCTCTTTTTTTTTTTTTAATCTGCCATCTTTCGCTATCTATAGTCGATCTGATCTAATATCCGTCCTGTGCACTCACCGAGCGCTCTCTTTTCCCTATCATTACTAGACACGCCCCTTAATGCTGATTGGCAGCAAGTGTGTTTTGGGACTTGGTCTGACACTGGTCAAAAACTTTTTTCAAATATTGCTTAGTGCAACCTTTAATTCCGGATAACTGATCTCTGGCTAATTTGGTTCTTCAAACAAGTTAGCAAATTTGATTAAAATATCTGGATCAAGTTGTCTGAGATTACTTTGTGTTGTCATGTTCAGTGGAAAGGGCAGATATATTGATACTCGAAACCATGATCAGCAATGCAGTGATTTGCTGGCGTCAAGACAGCAACGTAATGACATCATTTAATTAAGATCAAGGAAAGAGTTTAGTGCGCAAAATGATATAACTAGTGTTGTCACGGTACTAAAATTTCAGTATTCTGTACCAATACCAGTGAAAATTCACGGTTCTCGGTAGGGATGCACTGAAATGAAAATTCTTGGCCGAAACCAAACAAAATGAAATAGGGCCGAAGGCCGAACAAAATTAAACACAGGGCTGAAGGCCGAATACCGAACACAGAGTTTTTTCCCCCATGTATTTTGACAATTGTTTTTTCACCATTGCATAAATTGAAAAGCCAAAATGTGATTTTTACTGTTTTGTCTTGCTTTTCAAAGAAAAAAAATCTATTACAAAACAACAATTTAAAAATATTTAACACTGAACATTTTTAACATTCTAGCAGACACTATACCAACAAAGCACAATTTCACTTAAAATTAATAAGTTAGTAAAATAATAATTTTTGGCCATTTGTTTGGCCTCACGCTTTGGACTTTGAACCCTGGGTAACAAGCAGATCTGCTGCGAGTTTGTGCAGCGCTGTCAGAATACATGCAATGCGCACGTGTATTAGAAAACAACGTTCTGCAGTTTATTTACTAATTGTTTAAGGCCATTTTGCGATTTTAATCATCATATAGTAACCAGGAACAATCACCCCTTCCTCTTCTCATTGAAGACATGCGATGCAATCCTAAACAGTCTCTCGCTGTCGGTGCTTGTAATGATTTT